AAACATGAACTGTTATTCTGTCAAAGATAAAATAGCTCTGGCGTCACAATATACAGAAATCATTGTTTAAAGAGTGTGAAGGAAAACTAACAGAAGAATAACAAGAAAACAAGAAGAACATGTTGTAGTTGAAAATTGGAGAAGAGACATACAAAATGGTAGAAAAGGAGAAAAAAAAGCAAAAGCAGCATATGAACACGAAGAAGAAATGGAATAATTAGGAAAAGGAGACGAAGATGACGAAGAAGAAAAAGAAGATGATGAGAAAGAAGAAAAAAGAAGACTAACACGAAGAAGTAGAGGAAGAAGAAAAAAGAAGAAGCACAAGCAGAAGAAGAAGAAGAAGAAGAAGAAGAAGAAGAAGAAGAAGAAGAAGAAGAAGAAGAGGAAGAAGAGGAAGAGGAAGAGGAAGAAGAAGAAGAAGAAGAAGAAGAAGAAGAAGAAGAAGAAGAAGAAGAAGAAGAAGAAGAAGAGGAAGAAGGAAGGTGACCGAAATGAATAACTTTATCACTTGAATATTTTATGTTAATATACCAAAAAAAATGAGCTTGCTAGCTAATTCCCGGAAAAAAAAATCAGAAATTTATGGAGATTCTTCGATTTTCAGAGTAGAAACAGAATAAAATGAGGGAATAGAAAAAAAAGGAAGAAAATAAACAAAGAAATGAAAGAAAAAGAAGAGGTGAATCAGAAGATGAAAACAGGAGCAGTGGGGGAATAAGGAAAACGAAAAGATGAGGAGAAACTGAAAAAGAATGAATACGAGAGATTAAGCGGAGGAAGATTAGCAGAATTTGAAGAAGTTGAAGTTGACGAAGTACACATATGTATTGAAAGAGAAGTAGAAGTAATACGAAAAGAAAAAGATGATGATGATGATGATGATGATGCTTATGATCATGATGAAGAATTAGTGGGAAAATATAATGAGTACAAATATGATGAGAAGTAAATTTGGAAACAGAACTACAAGAAAGAACAAGTATATTTCAAATGAGAAGGAGAAATTGACATCGAAGAATTACTAGCAGAATAGAAGGAGAAGAAGAAGAATTAGATATTTAATTAAATAGAGGAAGCATGGATCAATATGAAGAAATGTACGAATAGAAAGAATAGAGAATGATTGGATAGCTTGAAAAATAATAACATCGAATTTTCATGAGGAGAAATGTTAGTGGAAGAAAACAAAAACGTGATTACAAAGAAGTAAGAAAAGGAAGATCACATAGATGAAGAAATGACTATAACAAAAAAGACACTTTGAAGAAATAAATGAAAGTGTAAGTAAATCGCGTTATATGTAATGAATAGGAAAGTAACCATTTTGGAAAAAGGTGGAAAAGATGAAATAATAAAGAAGTAGAGCAGAAGAGTTTTGCACCAAAAAATAAAGAAATAAGAACCAGTAAAAAAAAATGATGTGAGTAACAAAAAAGGCAGAAGACGAAGAAGAAAAACAAAAAAGATATCTGAAAAAAAGAAAAGAGGAAGAACTGAAATATGAAGAGAAAGAAGGAGAAGAAAACGTTGCAAAGCAGAGAAGACCACAATCAAAAACTAATAAAGCAACCCAGAAAATTATGGAGAAAAATGTAAAGAAATATCAAAGAAGAAACTGACAAGAATAATGAAGAAAAGTAAGAAGAATGTGAGAGATAAAATTAGTGAAAAAAGAACAAAGAACAAGAATGAGAATGGAAAAGCGTAAGAGAAGAGCATGAGGAGGAGAATACCTGCAAAAAGATGAGGAAGAAATAGATCAAGGAGGAGAAGAACTGCAGAAGAAGAGACAGCAGAAAGAAAAAATATAAACATAATGGAATGAGTGAAGGAAAAGAAAACAAAAAGAATTAAAACAAGGGAAAACTATGGAAGATAGAAGAAACAAGGAGGAAGAAAAATAACAACAAACGGTGAAGTAGATGAAAAGAATTTGATGGTGATGAAGTAAATAAAGTATGCGGAGGAGGAGTTGGTGCTGAGGAACAGAGGTTCAGTACATGACGCAAGAATACAGTGCTGGAGTACTAGAAGAAGGAGTAGACAGATAAGATAAAACGAAAAACGAGCCAAAGAAAATTTGATGAAGAAGGAAGGCAGAAGAAAGAAGAAATGAAGAACAAGAAAACAATATCAGACAACAAAAAGAATAAGAAAATCTTAGGAACAGAAGACAAGGGATAAGATCAAGCAAAAGGATGAACGATCTTTTGTGGGTGGAGTCCAAGGAGGAGGAAGTATTGAAGGATGAGAAGAGAAGGAGTCCATGAAAAGGAACGAAAAGAAGAAAGGTGGATATAGAAAAATAAGAACCAGATTTAGAACAAGACTTAGCGATGCAAGATGTGATAACAAGAATAAGAATGAAAAAGAACAAGAACATCTAGAAGGTGAATCAGCAAAACTAGAACAACAAGGAAAATGAGAATAAGTAATGTGGAAGCACAGTAGTCTGCTCAGGTGATCTCCTAGGACTGCACGCAGATGTTACTGCTGGATGTACTTGCAGTATAATAAGGCATGCAGAACATGTTAACCGGATGATATCCACGAAAGAAAATACCGAAAAGGTATCATATATTTTCAGGTCTGAACACAAGCATATTTTGCTCTATAGGATACGTTCCAAACTTTTTAAACCCAGCTGTGTTCAAACAATCTGTATGCTACTTCATAGATCAGATTTGCATTTGGTTCAAAGAGAAGGCTAAAACGGTTTAAAGTGTCTATTTTTTTTTTTTCGACTCAGGACATAACAGCTCTGTGTTCAGTAGCAACAATGCCCTATGGTAAGAAACATACCTAGCTTTTATTTAAGTTAACGAGTCTGACTTGACACCCTACCGAGTTCAGAGTTAGCCTCCATGAGCGGTTCTCTGGTACGACCACCACACCAGAGGCACCAGGACCTAATCCAGAGCCCTGCAACTTGTGGCAGAGAACTGAATGGACTATTCCTGAAAGTACTGCACTTGCTTCCTGGAGAGGAAAAGGTGTCTCCCCCTACTGTTTTTCCCGCCCCTCCCCCTGGGTGCTACATTGGGCTTCGCCTCAGAGCTTTTTGGAAAGCCTGGTATGAGTCAGCATTGAACATGCAACTGCAGCCTCATGGGATGAGGGCGGTACCAGCTGGTCCTTCATGCCCTACTGAGGTCAAAAGAGCCCTACCAGCAGAACTCAGGCACAGCCTTACACCATCTGCACAGAATCAATATCAGAACTATCTGGCTCTTGCAAGAAACCCTCCTTCATGCCCTACCGAGGTCAGGAGAGCCCTATGAGCAGCTCTCCCACACCACTATGACACCAGACCCACAGAAACGAATCTCTTTACAATCTGGTGCTTGCAGAAATCCCTCCAGACTTAATTAGTAATATATCAGAAATCCAAAATCCTAGAGTTCTCATAACTAGCTATAGAAAACACATTATTTCATAGTGCTTTTCCTCAGTTCTGATTGTTGCGGAAGTTCTCAACAATAAGGATTCATCTTTGTCGAAATAATGAAGGTAATCAAAAGAGACAGAGAGTTAAGTAGAAATCATCTGCGTCACAGGCATCGGGAGGGGTAGCAGGGGTTTCACTGGGGTTCTTGGTGGTGAAAAATAAGTACTGGTGAAGGGAAGGGTGTTTGATCACTCCATGACTGAGAATTAAACCAGAAAATTGTGTTCCTTTTCCCACACTGATTAAATAAATAAATATAAAAAATCGAACAAACTTAATTATTATCTTGAAAAATAAAAAGGTAAAGAATGTGGCTTGATGAAAATAGGCATATGAGTGTCACATTTTAATTATATAAATTCTAGATGTCCTAATCTGGAACTCCCCGCTTCTATTTCACCTATGGAAACATTTATTCTTCTATGAGTCCCCCTAATAATCTCCATTATGATCAGCTTCTATTTTTCCTCCTCCTGCTCCTCCACCTCCTCCTCCTCCTCCTCCTCCTCCTCCTCTTCTTCTTCTTCTTCTTCTTCTTCTTCTTCTTCTTCTTCTTCTTCTTCTTCTTCTTCTTCTTCTTCTTCTTCTTCTTCTTCTTCCTATTCTACTTCTCATTCTTTTTGTTTTTCTTCTCTTTTCCTTATCTATTGTTCTTATTCTTAATATTCTTCTTCTATTACAACTTTTTCTTCTTCTTCTCATTCTATTTCTCCTTTCTTTCTCCTTCTCTCCTCTTCACATTGCTTCTCCTTCCCCTGGTTCTCCTCTTCCTCCCCATCTTTCAGCTTCTTATTCTCCTCCGTTTCCTTCTCCCTCCTCCCTTTCCCTTCCGTTTTCCCTTCCCCTTATATTTTCCCCTTCCATTTATCCTTCTCCTTCCATTTCCTATTATCCTCCCCTACTATTCTTCCTTCATTTCTTCTTCATTTTCTCTTCTAGTTCTTTTTCCTATTCTTCTTCTTACTCTTCTTCTTCTTTCTCTTCTTCTTTCTCTTCTTCTTGTTATACTTCGATTTCTTTATCTTATTTTTCTTATTCTTTTTCCTCTTCATACTCTCCTTTCTTTCTTCATCTACGACTCCACCCTGAACTTTTTTATCTTTCATCATCATACTTATTTTACTCTTCAATGTGTTCCCCCTTCTGCTCTAGTGTCTACTACTTTTGCTGATTAATTAATCCAATTTTCCCCTCTTGTGTGTTTCATAATAAAAATTAAGAAAAAAGGTGCTCTTACCTATATTTTCGTTGCTTCCAAATAATCCACGTTCCAGTTTGTGACTTACCAAGTCAGAGGATGACACTGAAATCAGGCTACAATGCAGTGTCCATTATTTATTTATTGTGTGCTTTGGGTGAAGCAGTTTTTCTAGTTCTTAGTTATGATGCACTCTGGGTTTCTAAGAACGATGCGGGTGATGAATGTATTTTGAAGTGTAGGCAACTGTAGTGTGTTCTCTGGAATGACACTGGAGTACTCCGTTGATGTTGTATTATGTAAGTCGATCTGACCTGCTTGCGCAAAGGTCATTGGTAGTGGTGTCTACCTTCACAAGTCTGAGAGATCCAGCTTTCTGTCCAAGAACTGGAGCATGAACTGAGAAGCATGAGAAGGAGCCCAGATACTCTTCAACGTTTCACACTCCTTGATATTGGCCTGCTCCAGTTCAGCCTTAACACTGCAGCCAATCAGGCTCTTGCATTCTTGCAGAACTAGCGGGTGGTATGAGGCCAGTAATTTGACTTGATCCATGACCTCCCTCATGAATGTGTCCGGATTGAACACCTGGGAGATCAAACCTTTGTGGCATGGCTCCTTGGCAGTCAGCTTCCAGCCACTGAGGAGCATTTCAGAGGCAGTCGTTCCTCCCATAATCATGGGAAAGGTCAGGCTGCTGCAGCCATCTGGGGTCTGGCCTTGGGTGGCATAAGGAGTCTGGAAACAAGCCTTGTCACTGGACAAAACTATATCACACAGGCCCAGAATGGACGCTCCTAAGCCCACCGCAGGCCCATGAACTGCAGCCACGATGGGTTTCTGAAAGTGAATGAAATGATTCACAAAGCTTTTCAGGGCTTCTGCAGTCTTCTCACTATGCCCTTCTGGGTCTACTCCTAGGCTCTTTCTCAAATAGACCAAATCCAGTGTCGCGCAGTAAGTAATGCCTCCGAGGCCACCTCAGGCCTCATGGGGCACGTTGGTGGAGTCCTTCTGCCTGCCATAGCCTGAAGTCTCGAAGTGCTTCAGCACAGTCTACCAGATTCTCTTCTGGCTCCCACGTGTCTGAATACCAGCCATAGCCTTTCCACTGCACCAGGTTTTCTTGCTTTCATTTTAGCCCTTGCCTCTCACCCGCGATCCTCTCCACCTCAAAAAGTTGCTCGCTATCCATGCCGCCGATCACATTCAGAAGCATTTGGTGCGATGCATCCACAGCATGGCCTTCTATGACAACACTTCAGCTTCCTGTCCTTGCAAGGACAGCTCTCAGAACTCAGATGCACAGGAAGCGGGGGGTGGGGGGTGGGGGGTGGGGGGCGCCCTGAGAGAATGTGGCTGCGTATGCGCGGGAGAGCTTCCATCAGCTCAGAATACCAGACGAATTCCCTGGTTAGCACCGGCTAGCTAGGTATCTTTCTCAGGATTAGTTATTGAGTCCAGTCACTGTTCGTTGGTGTTTCTCGACTTGCCGCACTCTTTTGTTCCTCGGCACCTCGAGGTCTTCCCAACAGAGCACTGTCGGGCATCAAAGCCCTAGCACTTGACACTTAAACTGTAAGTCAATCTATTTGAAGTCAAGATTCTCTCCTGGGCCAATGTTGAGGGACGCACAACAACAAACTCTACAGCCGTGACCCTTCCTAGATTCCGTTCGAACCAAGTATTGCGAGTTGCTCAGAAAATCCATCACGTTTTCCTTCTATACTTCCTGTGCATGACTCTTTTGCCTATTCCTTATCTTCTATTTATATACTGGAGACTCGCTATGTTGGCCGGCATTTCTCTCATTTTGGCCCTATCTGCATTTCTGTAGTGGATCTCAGAATGTATACTTGGACGAAAATTGCATTTCATAGCTGCCTTCGTGATTTGGATTGTTTCCAGCACAACAGATCAGGTCTACTCATGTAGCAAAATAAACAGATATTATCTCCGATGAACTAGGTTCCCTCTAGTTTCTCGCTGCTTAACATAGATCCCAGGAATAATAGATACAGACTGACTTTAGTACACACTTTACGGTAAAAAAAGCATCATCCTTCCTGTTTATACAAGAGGGCAATGAATTACGTGAATGATCAAAACATGAAAATAAACCCTGCTATCCATTCCTTCGTGAAAACGCTGAATAATGTGGAAACAGCAGCTGATTCCGTAACATAGTGATGACAACACATGACGACCAAATAAGGTGCCCTATTCATTATGGAAATCTCCACCTCATAAATATTGTGCTTGCGACACCGTTGTACTTTCTGCCCAATGGAGTTCTGCAGTTTCATCATACATAGTCTTGATTCTAAAACATATTTTCTCAGGTTCCTAACACTATGCAAGAAATCACCTTGGGTAGAATGTTCTCAAGCCGCACTCCAGGTTCTGAGAAATGACCTTTATAGCTCAACAGTCCTGGGCCCATCAGGCAAAGCATAAATTGGTTCAGTAAGGATTCAGAACCCCAATGAAGGTTTCTGAACCTTTCCAGGTCCCATTGACCTCCTTTTGGTGTTCTCTTCAAGAGAGGTTTCGTGTAAGCACATTGCTTTCCGCTTCACAGTCTCTACATATTGTGGATATTAAATGAAAAACTGTTCCCATGTCTTTTCTATGAATTGATATACAGTGTTTCATTTATGTCGACGTCCCTATCCTCATGCCCAGAACCTTCTTGTAAAACTCTTGAGTCATGCCGTCTTCTTCAGAGATCTTATTCTTTCTTCATTTTCATATTTTAAGAGTTTTCAAAGGAAATTCTTTTTTTTTTCTGCTTCTGGATTTTTTTCATGTTCCTTGGACTCTTGTGTCTTTGGTGCCCTTCAAGTATATAGGGTATATGCTATTGCATTCAGCAGGAAATAAAACACTTTTGAATGTTTTGGTAACATATTTTGTCAAGTATTCCTAGGGCAGGAATCGTTATCTTAAATTCTGTCGATAGAATATAAAGAGATTGATATACATATCTTTATGTCTCTATAAGAAGAGAGAGAGGCTTAGTTTTCTGTTTTTGTGTGTGATTTACTTCTAATTTAAGCACATTGTGGTCTGAGAAGATTGTTGATACAATCTCTATCTTCTTAATTTTATGGAGGTATGTTTTGTTGCTCAGCATGTGGTCTATCTTGGAGAATGTTCCATGTACGCTTGAGAAGAATGTGTATTCAGCCTTTTGAGGATGAAGTGTCCTGTATATATCTACTAAGTTCCTTTCTTCCATTGTTTCCCAATCTTTCTTGTTTCCCTCAGATTAAGTATGTCCTTGCTAAGTTTGAGTCTGGTTGATCTATCTAGAGGTGACAAATCGGTGTTGAAGACTCCCACTAGCATTGTGTTGCTATTGAGGTCTTTTTCCAAATCTATGAGTAGTTGTTTTAAGTACTTTGCTGGTCTCTCATTAGGTGCATATACATTTATTACTGTAAGTTCTTCCTGTTGTACAGATCCTTTGATCACTAAGAAATGGCCTTCACTGTCTCTTATTACCTTCTTCACTCTGAAATCGATGTGGTCTGATATTAAGGTGGCTACCCCAGCTTTTTTATGGGAGCTGTTTGCCTGTAGGATTGTTTTCCAGCCTTTGACTCTGAGTCTGTGTTTGCTTTGACTATTAAGGTGTGTTTCATGCAGGCAGCAGAATGTTGGGTTCAATTTTCTAATCCATCCTGCCACTCTGTGTCTTTTAATTGGTGCGTTTAGCCCATTGACATTGAGAGAGATTATTGTTATGGGATTTTGTCCCATTGTTCTGTTGAAATTAGGTGTAGTTGAGCGGCCTGTCCTGTCTTAAAGTAGCCCTTTTAGTTGTACTTGTAACCATGGTCTTGAGTCTATGAAGTTCCTGAGCTGTTGTTTATCTGTGAAGCTGTGTGTTGTTCCTTCTGTTATGAATGAGATTCTCGCTGGGTAAAGTATTTTTGGAGAGGCACTTATTTCATTGTGTTTTTTCACTATGTCCCACCACTGTTTTCTGGCCCTGAGGGTTTCATCAGAAAAATCAACTGTGAATTTTAAGGATGCTTCTTTGTAAGAGATTTCTTTCTTCGATCTTGCTGCTTTCAGAATTTTGTCTCTGTCTAAAGTTTTGGTCATTTTGATCAGGATGTGTCTTGGGGTATTTTTGTTCGGATTTCTTCTAGCTGGTACCCTTTGGGCCTCCTGAATGTGGTCAGAAGATTTCTTCAGCTCTGGAAATGTTGTAGCAATGATGTCTTGGACAGTTTCTTCTTAATCAGGGTTTTCTTCCTGTCCCTCTGGGACTCCAATAATTCTTATTTTACACCTCTTGGCTTCATCACGATCTTCTCTTGCCATCTGTTCCCAAACTTTGAGTCTCTTTTCCATTTTCTGCTCTTTTCTGGCGAGTCTCTGAAGTTTATCTTCAAGCTCACTGATTCTGTTCTCAGCAGCTGTTACTCTGCTTCTGAGGCCTTCCACTGAGGTTTTCAATTCGCCCACATATTGTAAGTGGTACAATATGGAAAGTATCATGCTAAGCGAAATGAGTCAGAAAGAGAGGGATAGACATAGAAAGATTGCATTCATCTGGGGGATATAAAGCAACAAAATATGAGATCAATACCTAAAATAGCTGAGATCAACACCAGGAGGATTACTCCATAGCTTAGAGGCCAGCCGTGTATTCTAGGGGAAAGGGCCGTTCAGATAGAGAAGGGAGCAACAAATAAAGGGTGTTTGGAGGATCCTCCCAGTAGGGGAAATGCATGTTGAAAGTAGACTATGGACTGAACATGATTGCCACTCAATGCCTCTTTTGCAGACCACAACACTAAAAAGGAGAGAGAGAACAAAGAGGAATGACCTGCCACAGAGGCAGGGTGGGAGAGGGGGTGGGGGGGATATTATCCATGGTGGTGGAAAATGGGCACTGGTGGAGTGATGGGTATTTGATCATTGTGTGACCGAAGCCCAAGTACAAAGATTTGTAAATCTACAACTGTACCTCATGGTGCTTCACTAAAAAAAAAAAAAAAAAAAAGATACAAAAAAAGAGAGAGAGAGGCAGGCCCATTGCTGGAATTATGACATTCCACGTATATAACTTTGTATTGTTTCTCTCTGAATTCAAGGTCTTTCCAATTTTGAGCCACCACCGGGACCAAGTCCTTGGGCACATGCCTCCACTTCCACAGCCAGCGCCAGACCAACTAGTCACACAGCAGGCCCAACGGGTCTGTTCTATCTTAGTGATTCCCTAACCAAACTGAGGACCGGGAAAGCCAACCGACCCAGGTTCCCCAGACTGGGCACCTGCCTCCACTTCTGCAGCGAGCGCTAGTCCAATTGTTTCTGTGACTCCCCACAAGGTCTGTGGACTAGCATTGGGACTGGCTGGGGTCATGGCAACCATTGTAGGGGCCATGGCCTCCTCAAGGGTGCGTGGCCTCCTCATGTGGGCGTGCCCTCCTCTGACGTGGGCTACCAATCAAGGGGCCGCAGTTACATTTCCCACTCCCACCACTCTTGACTTTCATCCCAGCCTTTACCATCTAAGTCTGTGGGGAAATTCTGGCCACCTCAACCACAACAATTAACCACTGGCCTACTCCAATTCTAAAAAAAGAGCACTACGCCGGAAGCTGTCCAAGTCCAAAACTTAAGGAAAACCTCCGCCAAAGCTTCACTAGATGCCCATCATTAGCGAAAGAAAATAACCTGGGACCATGATCCGACTCAAGAAAGGAGAAGGGTGACCACCATCGGTCGACCTATCCAGAATTCTTAACCACGGTAAGAGGGAACTGTGCTAGTGAATTCCTGATCCACGATAAGAGGGAACAGAGCTATTGAATTCTGGGCTTTTATGACTAGACAACCAAAACAACAAGAAGAGAGAAAGTAAAGGTAGAAAAATTGGAAGAAAGAGATGAAGAAGAAGAAAAAGAAGAAAAAGGAGGAAGAAAAATTAAAAAAAGAAGAAACAGCTCTCACTATTCTCAGATGATATGATACTATACTTAGAGTACCCAATAACCTTCACCAAATAACTCCTAGAAACAATAGACTTGTATAATAAAATTGCAGGCTTCAAAATCAATAACCAATTGTCCATGGCTTTCCTATATGCAAACAGTGAGAGAGAAGAAAGCTACATGAAAAAACAAAGAATCCCGTTCACAATTCTGTCCCAGAAAATCAAGTACCTAGGAATCA